TGATCAGCTGCACAGAGTACAAACTGAAAACTTTACGGACTTAATACGCCCAAACCGCCTCCATTATCGGCCTGTTTATCTTGACCAAGAGAAGACGCACCGAAATTCTGCAGTGCTTAGTGCACTCGGAAAAATGTCTCAATTGTAATCCAGCCCCATTATAATACCTTCTTTTTATCCGATGCTTTACATTTCCAATTTTATGGGTTTTTTGCATCTATACAATGCAAAAACGCATACTGCCGAGGGGTTGTCTATGTGTGTGTGTGTGTTGGTGTGTGCGTTTCTATCGTGTTTTCATCTGGAGACTAACAAAAGCTACAAGCCTGAAACTTTAGTAAATTAATCTATACCTGCGTAAGGGCCCCCGTTTTCAGCATAAACGCTCAAGCCCATGTGGTTCTCAAGTACGGGCACGTAAAAGACTTTCTGACGAAGGTGACGACGCAAGCTAGAAAGCTGAAACTTCTTGAAGTTAATTCATTACCCCCGTCCAACCCTAAGGATTTTAAATGCAGTCTTCACTCACCTTTAGGTCACGTGTTAACACACGTCAAAGTTTAAATTGGCATAATGTCAACTCGAAAATTAAGCTGTGGTTTTGCAGCATTGCCTATCGGCCGATGATGCACCCGTGAAAATAAACAGCGCTTTCCAGCCCCCTGTATATAGACGTAAAATTTGACGAGGATAGCTTTGTAATTTCGGAACTGAAGCAGCAATAGGGCTGAAACTTCCTGAGTGTAGCCGCCGGCGGCATTTAGCCAGGTGGACTCGAAAACAACTTTCACGTTCCTTTCATGTCTCACGTACGGATCACGTACGAACGCGTGAAATCTGAAGTAAATCCGCAACCGAAGCAGGTGGAGCGTTCAAATTTTCTGCACATGGCTCAGAGCCATGTTTGAGCAAGGACCTCTAAAAACAACAACTTTTCCTCTCACGCACGATCATGTGGAACTTAAAGTAACTCTGCAATCAAAATAGCCAGAGTGCTCAAATCTCCTGAACACGGCCTATGATCATGTTTAAAAAGATTTCACGTGTTCATGCGTGAAGGGAACGGGGAGGTTTTCTTTTTTTTTTTTTTTAGCAGGGTTACGTCAAGTTCTCATGTTTGTACGTGAGGGGAAACCTCCACGTTTCCCCTCACGTACAAACGTGAGAACTTGACGTAACCCTGCTACAAAGTCAGCCACATTGCCGAAATTTTCAAAGAATGACCCACGATCATGTCTGGTCAGATGTACGCCAAAAAAGAAAACCTTCCCGTTCCCTTCACGCATGAACACGTGAAATCTGACGTAATTCCACACCCAAAGTGCTGAAATTTTCTGAACTTGGCCCACCATCTTATGTGGGTAGGCACACACGAAAACAACATTCACTTCCCTTCCACGTGCGAACATGTAAGATCTTACATCGGTGGCCAATTATCTGCTTTGATGCATAACCTCTAGTGGATATCGTTATCAAGCTGAGAGCGGTTCACCCAGCACGAGCTTAGCGGCAAAATGCGGTATAGCCTGCTACCGAAATGCTCGAAAATGTGAGGTTCTCAGTCCTGTTGTGTTAACAATGCGTCACTCCCATATCACCAATGGCATGCTAGCATCGAAGTCTGCGGTTTCATTACTAACAACTTTAAAAATTAACTGCCGACATGCTTTTGCTGAACAGGTGTCAAAAATTATCCAGTTCCAAAATATTTACTTTTAAAATTTTTGTAAAACTGGGCATCATGGGGAGCCCAAAAAAATGCACACCACCACTCCCCTTCCTCCATCATAACTCTACGTGCCTAAACTTTTTTCAGGCCGTCCTCCTTCCCTTGACAAATTCTTTGCTGCTTCCCAAAGCTTAAGCATTTCTCAACAACCAACTCAACAGTTCTACTCCACACTTGAAAAAAGACGCACATTTTGGAAACACTGCAGCTATTCTCAGGTAAAAAACTTACGCGGGAACAGGCTTCATGAAGCCATCATCAATAAAATAACCGATGCGAAGAGAGCGACTGCTTGCGTGAGTGTATTTTCTTTTGTCCAGTGGATACGGTAAAGCTTGTGGAACCAACTGATGGTACTCCTTCGATCCAATAACGTTATTAAGAAGAAACATTTGCTCATCAACGGTCCTGGTAAAGAATCCATAGCTCAGGGCCAAACGATTTTTGCCCGGGATCCCATTTTGTGCGTAACGGACCATTAAGCGCCCTGAAGAACATATTCCAACATAAAAAAGTTCTTTACACACAGATCTTTTTGGTATATGCAAATATCTATGTATATATATATATGTATATCTATGTATATAAAACTTGATGTACATACAAATACATATGTTGATCATTATATAAAATCTAAATATCAATTAACAATTATATAACTAACAAAAATTTTCGATGGAATCATAAACAGTGAAACTTATCATGAAGGCCATCTTATAAAAATCAAATAAGCAGTGCAAAAGTGTTTAGCTCGACTTCCAGTGAGACAATGCGATTAGTACATTCTTGGCCTATTAGGCAACACCAAACAACTTGGTTAACCAATTAGCTTCCAGTATGGTAGAAGTTAAGGGATTTCTTACAGGTAAAAGCTAAAAACATCCAGAAACGGTTAATCGAGCAAAAAAAAAAAACAGGCAAATCCAAGCAGAAAAAGCATCCAAGCTGAAAGCTGCTAAAATACAGTAATAGACAAAAAAAACAGAAAAAGAAAGTCGACTTCGGATCAACCATCTTGGTGTTAAATTTGTACGCAGTTACGTCACCATAACCCAGAATGAAGGCACTGGAAAGTGTGAAACTGATTTTCCAGAATGATGTCTGTAGAATCTTCATCGATATATTACGGAGGGAATACATATCATTGCTTAACAGACTCGCAGCGCTCTCTTGCACAGAACAATACATACAAGCTAGTAAGATTCAGAAACCAAAAAAGAGCAGTATTTCGGGTGAATTACACGGACGAATAAAGAACTGAAAGTAAAGTATATTGATTTCGGCCAAAATAACATCTGAGAACATATTTTGGACTATTTTTTATCACTTCTACCACAATGTTTTCCGAAAAAACTTGCTAAGTTACTTTTTTAGACGAACCAAACAACACAGATATGTCGAAGGTGCGCCAATGCACAGGTACAAAACAGTACAGACTGTGAATCAACGCCGGGTTTGCAAAATCTGTTAAAAAAGCACACACACACACACAAAATCAAATGAATTTTGGCGAAACCTCAGAAAAAAT